GTTTAGTTACCTTGTCCTTTATGAATGCGTGCTTTACCTCGGACTGGGGCCTTCTCTTTATCTTCACTGGTTTGAACCTAGGGTCCAGGCTTAGCTGATGCATCGTTATCTCCGGTGGGATCCCTATCATGTCTAAATGGGACCAAGCAAAACAATCAATGTTATCATTATGAAATTGAATAAGCTTTTTCTTGAGTTCGGGGGTTAATCCCGTTCTCAGGTATACCTTTCGCTCGGGCAGGCACTCGATCAATATAACCTGTTCCAGCTCTTCGACCGTTGATTTGGTGGCGTCAGAATCTTCGGGAACAATAAAAGTTTGAGGGGTTAGAAAATCCTCCTCTTCTTCTTCTATCTCCCGTTACCGGATTCAGTAGAGGCTGGTGGCTGTGATTGCTATTTGGCTTCCTGTTTCCCTTTGATTCTCGACCTTTCCGAGGTTGATAACATTGGTATTGGTGTTACTTCGTCGACCGCAAACATTTCCTTTGCAGCATGCTGCTTCCCGTATACTATTTTTACACCGTCTGACATCGGGAATTTCATCATTTGGTAGAGAGTTGAAGGGACTGCCCTCATATTGTGGATCCAAGGCCTTCCGAGTAGGGCATTGTACCTCATGCCGCCCTCGATCACGTGGAACTTGGTAGCTTGAATGGTTCCAGCCACGTTCACCGGTAGAATAATGTCCCCTTTAGTTGTTTCATTGGCCATATTGAAGCCGTTTAAGACCCGAGCTACGGGCACGATTTGATCTTGTAGGTGAAGCTGCTCCGTGACCCTCGATCGGATGATATTCGCCAAGCTACTTGGATCCACTAAAACACGCTTAACTTGAACTTTATTTAATAAGATAGAAGTTACCAGAGCGTCGTTGTAAGGCTGGGAAATGCCTTCTGCTTCTTCGTCGTTGAATGATAAGGAACCTTCGGGCACATGATCTTGAGTTCGTTTTTCCCTAGTGATTGATACCATGCGTTTGAATATGGGTTCGTGTGTAACGTCGACCCCATCGACGATCATATGAATGGCATGTTGGGGTTCCTCCTGTTTAGTTTTCCTGTTGGCGTCCCTTTCTCTGAAATGATTCTTGGCTCGATCGCTGAGGAATGAAGGTGGCCCTCATTGAATAGACGGGCTACCTCCTCCCTTAATTGCCTGCAACCCTCGGTCCTGTGACAATACGTTCTATGGTGCTTGCACACCAACTTGGGTTTCTTTGGGAAGGATCAGTCTGTATGGGTCTGGGCCACCTAGTATCTTTGATCCTTACGATTGTTGATACAATGCCCGATGCGTCGATGCTAAAGTTATATTCCGATAATCGAGGTGCCTCTATGGGATCGGCATACTTATCAAAACCACTTTTGCTCATAAGTCCCCGAGAATTCTGTCCTCGATCACTTCTTCAATTATTTCAGGCGGAATTGCGTCCTGAACCATTGTTCCTTCGATTTGCGGTATATGGTTGATATTGTTCTCTGTTCGACCTTGGCTCCCTGTCGACGTCCCTCTGGGCTTTAACTGTCGACCTCTTTGGATGTACTGAATCGGAAGGGGCTCCTAATTGGTCATCCTTAACCATGATCTTCGATTAATATCGATTGTGCACATCTACCCAAGTTACAGTTGGATACTCAATCAAATTTTGTTTCAACTGACGTGATGCTATCAAACTTCGCTCGTTCAACCCTTGGGTGAAAGCTTGAACGGCCCAATCATCTATGACCGGTGGCAACTCCATGCGTTCCATTTGAAATCGGGACACAAACTCCCTCATCATTTCATTATCCCTTTGTCTTACCTTGAAAAGGTCCGATTTTCTTATTGCAACCTTTATGGCCCCGGCGTGTGCCTTTACGAAAGAATCTGCTAACATGGCAAATGAGTCGATGGAATTTGGTGGCAGGTTGTGATACCAAATCATTGCTTTATTTGAAAGGGCCTCTCCAAACTTTTTCAACAGCACAAATTCGATTTCATCATCTTCTAAATCGTTACCCTTGATGGAGCATGTATATGAAGTAACATGTTCGTTGGGATCGGTAGTCCCATTATATTTTGGTATGTCTGGCATACGAAATGTCTTTGGAATAGGCTTCGGAGCCGCACTTTGAGGAAACAACTTTTGTACAAACTTCTTCAAATCCATCCCTTTCAAGATTGGTGGTGTCCCTAGTATCTGATCAACTCGAGAGTTATATGTCTCCACTTTTTTATCATTAGCTTCGATTTTCTTTTCTCCTGAATCGATTCTTTTGGTGAGCTCCTCGAGCATTTATATTACTGCAGGACCGGTCCCCGATCCGTGATCATTCAACCTCTTTGGCACTGGCTCAGTACGACGAGTGATTTCCGGCTCAACCTCACTCGGAGTTCTATGTTGATTTTGAAGCTAATCAATAGCAACCTGCTAAGGCTGTAGCATCTCGAATATCACCTGGAGACTAACTCTTCCGTCTCCTCTGCCCTGTGTACCTCAACCACCAACCCAGCCTTCCCTGCGTACACTCATTTCGGGGTCCGCACCTAGGTCCGCATTTAAAGCAACATGCGAATTGACGTCGACCGGATTGGCAACTGGTGCTTTCCCGAGATTAACCAGTGGCACATCGACTCTAGGAGCAATTACATTGTCGTTCTCCCCATGAAAGCCGAGACCATTATCACCGTGTGCGGGTGCATTTTGTGAGTTTGACATGTTTTAATCTGAAAGCAAAAATACTTGACAAGAACAAGCGTGAAATAATATGTGTTATCAGAATCAGCACCGAACAATCACCATTATCCTTAGCCCCACGGTGGGCGCCAAACTATTTACCCTAAAATTCAAGTAACAATTAAACTTGTATTGTGGTTTTAAGGATATGTGATTTAATCCAATACCAATCGATAAACAAGGAATTAAATAGACAAATAAAGAGATAGGGTAGATCAAACCAGTATGCGAGTGAAGTCTCGACCTTGATTCAAGACGGTCTCGAGATAGAGCAATAACAATAATAGTGAAGAAATGAAACAACAATGATAAACAGTAACCAACAGTAAGCAAGGTAAAAGAGCAGGATCTCTTTTCATTTGTTTTGGATATTACCAAACCTAGCCTAGCCTTTGTAAATCACACTAAAGCGGACACCCAACTATGGAAATGCCTGGATGTGTGTATTCTTATTAGTGAATTATGAATCCCGCCTACAAATGAATGGGATCCCTCTTTATATAAAAGAGAAATTCTAAATAAGGTACACTTCTAATTATAGTAGAAAATCATATTAACATCTAATTAACCGCTGCAGATCGATCCGTTCCGAGATTCACGCCACGATTCTCGACCAATCGCGGATATCTCACCTTTTCCGCTATCAAGCTATGTTGGTGTCCCTCGAAGTCTGCCTCTTTCTGTTCGCATCGAGGTCGACCTCGGCCCGGACTCGACGTCCTAGCTCTTTGACGTGACATTCCTATCTCGGCCAAAGATTCAAATCGGGTAGCCCCGATTTCCACCGTATACATCCTCAGATATATTTGAGTTACTTAATATGATCACAATCCTTCTTTCTTATTTATATCCGCACTAAATAGAAGAAACCGCGTCCATCCACATCTAAATGGAAATTAGATAAATGATAAACACCATCCACCTTCAACTTTGAGGTTGCGAATTCAAATTATCAAGGGAGCAAAGGGGAAAACTCCCCGAAGAAAAACAAATGGAAATTTGAACAGTTAATGTGAAAGTTATTTCTTTCTAGAAAGGCAGTGCATCCGTTCTAAATTAATTGTGCAAAAAATTAACGGGCCAGGGACAGAGTGCGTAGCCACATAAAGTAAAGGGTATTAGTTAAACACTTTGATCGAAAAATTATAGTGAGTATATAGAAAACTATACTATGTATATAGGTCAAAAATTAGTTTTTATAAATATATATTAACTTTTGAATATACTTTGTAAAATTTCTAGCTTTGCTAATGCAGGGACAATAAATATTTTTGCATATACGGCCTTTTTACTAAGATCAAGTGTCTGTGTTGAGTTTTGAAGTTTTGATGATTAACAAAGTATGACTAAATGTTCAAAGAACCAGGTCCTCAACGTAGCTGCTTAACTGTTCTGAAGAACTAGCTCCTCAGGAGAAAGAATCAGCTCCTCATGATTGATATTTACACGTCTTTACAAGACAGTAACTTTATCTCAAAGTTACCTAGGTCCGAGTTTGGTGGAAGAAGGCTGCTATAAGTGATAAGGGTCGTTGCTTAAGAAGATACGGATAAATCATTCAGAGACAAAAGTCCCAAAGCTTGTGGAATCCTTAGAACAGTAGGAGTTCTATCAAAGAGGAAGCTGACTATGAGTAGGACTCTTAGAAGATCTCGAGTTGTGTTTTAAATAGGATCGACTTTGGACTTCTGAACTATCCTTTTACATATCCACTAAAGAGTCATAAGTCGTTTACTTGTGTTGAATACTTGCCTTATATTCTTCATGAGTCAGTCTAGTGAATGTGTTTTAGGAAATTAAGTTGTAATCAAGTGTCATAAACAATTAGTGAGTTGGAGTGAGTATTTTGCTTTACAAGTTAGAGTAACTTGTGAATCAAATAGGAGTAGTAGGAGTACTGGAGAGTATTTAATTATAGTCTTGTAATTGATATATTTTGGCTCATTGTTCTAGTGGATTTGAAGTTAAAAATCCTACATGGTAGGTCGTGATTTTTGCACCTTTTGAGCCGGGTAATTTTTTCACATAAAAATCGCTGCGTTCATTTTGTTGCTTGTTTACTTTACGCTTAAGGAATACAGTAAAGTATCAAGTTCTTTAGTAATCCATACGGGCACTTAAACTAACAATTGGTGTCGAAGCCGGTTCTCTCATTTACACGGCTAACACCTAGAAAGATCTTGGAAGCAAGATAAGTGCTCCACCCAGAATTAATGAAGGACAATCAACCACCAGGCCATCCATTTTCAATGAAAAATATTACATTTGGTGGAAAGCAAGAATGGAAGACTTCCTGACAGTTGAAGACTATGAACTATGGACCATAGTTAACCAAGATTCTTTGATTCCTACTAAACAAAATGCACAAAATGAAACAGTTCCTAAGGACCCCTACGAATTTGTGGCAGCAAATTTAAGAATGATGGAGAAGAATAAAAAGGCTAAGAAAATCCTTATCTTTGGGCTCAGTCCTGATGAGTACGATAGAATTTCTGTGTGCTCTAATGCGAAGCATATATGGGATGCACTCCAAACTGCTCATGAAGGAACAAATCAAGTAAAGATATCAAGGATTTAGGTACTCATGAGAAACTATGAGCCTTTCTCCATGAAGGAGTCTGAGCCCATCCAGGATATGATGACTAGGTTCACTATAATAACCAATGATCTGAAATCACTTGGAAAAGCCTTTACCTCATAAGAGTTGGTTACCAAAGTTCTAAGAATCCTTCCAGCCTCATGGGAATCAAAAGTCACTGCAATCCATGAAGCCAAGGAATTGGACAAAATCTCACTTGATGAGTTGGTTGGAAACTTAAAAACTCATGAAATGGGAAAGATAGAACTGCGGAAGGAAGAACCAAAGAAGGATAAGGCCTTAGTTCTTAAAGTGTTTGAGGATAATGAATCTGACTATGATGATCCTGATCTAGCAATGTTTGCCAAGTTCAAGAGGTTCATGAAGAATTCCAAAAATGCATCCAAGACAGAGACCAGTAGCACGTCCAAGCAGATCGACAAAACAATTTATGATGGGTGCTACAAGTGTGGCAAGCTAGATCACATGGTCAAGGACTGCCCAATGTGAGAAATTGAGCGGAGGAAAGAACGAGATGAAAAAGAGAAACGGGAGAAAATGTGAGAAAAGTATTCCAACAAAGGAAAAATTCTAGCCAAAGGATTTACTGAAGCAATGAAGTAGGCATTCTTGATAGCATATGAGGAAAGTGGAAGTGATCAAGAGGAAGAAAAGGAGGATGAGGCTATAAGTCTCTATGCTGTGATTGATGAACACCAAGATGTGAAGACAAAACCACTAGTACAGCTTGGAATGCACATTGAAAGACCTCCTTTGTTTGATGAACATCACTATGATGAATGAAAGTTGCATATGGAAACATTTCTTCAGGCTACTGACTTTGACCTATGAGTAATTTTTAGTCATGGACCAATTCTCCTTAACAAATTGGATAGTGAAGGTAACAAGTGAAACAAAAGAGAAGAGGAATACGATGAGCAAGATCGTCAGCTAGTTCAGAAAAATGCTAAAGCAAAGGACATGCTCTACAAAAGCTTGTCTAGAAACACTTTTCTCAAAGTGCCCTCTTGCATCTCTGCTCATGATATATGGAGGACCTTGGAAACTGACTTTAGAAATAAAAGCATCGATGTGTCTTTGTTGGCGATTGAAGAATCCAAAACAGAGGAAAAAGTGAAATGAATGAGGGCCATGAGTGATTCAGAAACTGAAGATGAAGCAAACCAGGTAAGTATATCTGACTTGAAAGAAAATATTCATTTTATGTCCAAAAAATAACTGATGGCCATAATTGTGACCCTAATGAATGAAATGGAGAAAATGATTACTGGAAATGATCAACTAATAAGCAAACTTTCTTGTATCAAACTTGATATCAAAGAGCTTGAATCTGATAAAGCTAGTTTAGAGAAATAGGCCAAAGACCTTAAGAACCAGGTTCTTGAGCTTACTTCTAATAATAAGAAGTCTCCTGATATACATGGCAAAAGAAAAATGAGTGATATGTAGGATAATATTGAAAAGGAATTAAAAATTACTAATGATAATCTTTGTGATGCTGAATGTAGAAATAAAGTTCTGCATGAAAACCTAGAAAACGCTAATTATGAACTCTCTAGACTAAGCAAATGGCATAGATCTTCTGATGTCTTGAATTGACTGAATTAAAATTGTAGCTCTAATAAATCTGGAATTGGCTACAGAAATCTTATCCATAAGTTTGACCCAAAGTATGTAGGAATTTCTGATAATAACATGTGCACTCATTGTGGAAGAGTAGGACACTTTAGAGACACTTGTCCTGCCTTAATTCATGCTCAGTTTAGAAACACCTTTGGTATTGCTAAAAATTTGAAAAAGGAAGAGAAGCCAAAGGTTAATCCTCCTGTCCATACTAAGCGGATTAAGGTTAACAAGAAAATAGCTTCAAATCCTCTCCCCTTTTGGGCAAGAAGGGATCTGATTCATCCTTTTTCCAACAAAAAGGGACCCAAGCTTGTCTGGATTCCCAAAACTAACTTGTGAATATTTGTGCAGGATATGGTGAGAGGGAACAATCAGGACTGGTATCTAGACAGTGGGTGCTCAAGATATATGACTGGAGAAAGGAAAAACTTCCTCTCACTGATAGCCTTCCAAGGAGGGAGTGTGTCATTTGGAAATGGGAAAAAGGGCCAAATAACAGGTATTGGAAAGGTTGACAAGTCACTCTCTCATGTTATAAAAGATGTGTATTATATGGTAGGTCTTAAACACAATCTTTTTAGCATCTCTCAAATGTGCGACAAAGGAAATGAGGTAAAAGTCAATTCCAAAATTTGCACTGTCACTAAGCTTGATACTGATGAAATTGTGTTAAAGGGTAAGAGACATAACAATGTCTACAAGATATCGATTATGTCACTTACCCAGAGTGAGCACACATGCTTGAGTGTAGTGAATGATGATCCACTGTTATGGCATAGAAGACTTGGACATGTCAGTCTCTCTCAACTCAACAAGTTGGCAGCAAGGGACTTGGTCCTTGGTCTACCTAAAGTTGAGTTCACCTCTAACACGGTATGTTGAGCCTGTGTTAGAGGGAAACATGTTAGGTCATCCTTTAAATCTAAAAAGTTTTTAAGTACTTCTAAACCTCTTGAACTCTTTCACATGGACCTATGTGGACCAATGAGAATAAGGAGCAGAGGAGGTAAGAGGTATGTATTTGTGATTGTTGATGACTTCTCCAGCTATACCTGGACTTTTTTTTTGGGATCCAAAAATGAAACCTTTGATGTTTTCGTATTTGTCAGAATGATTCACAAAAGCTAGGGTGCAATGTTTTAAGTATAAGAACTTACGATGGAACTGAATTTGAAAATTAAAATTCCTTGAGTTCTGTGGCTCACATGGTATTGACCATAATTTCTCTGTACCTAGAAATCCACAACTAAATGGGGTCATAGAAAGAAATAATAGATCCTTAGAAGACATGGGGAGGACCATGTTGGTTGCCAATAGGCTGCCTAAGAGTTTCTGGGCTGAGGCAATCAATACTACTTGCAACCTGCTACATAGATGCATGGTCAGACCCATTCTTGAGAAAACTCCGCATGAGTTACTTTGAGGAAGAAAACCCAACATCCCCCACCTGAGAGCCTTTGGGTGCAAATGTATTGTGCATAATAATGGGAAAGAAGCTCTAGGTAAGTTTGATGACAAAAGTGATAAGGGAATTTTCTTGGGTTACTCTCCACATAGTAAGGCCTATAAGGTTTTTAATGAAAGAACTATGTGTGTGGAAGAAAATATTCATGTTAACTTTGATGAATCTAACAAATTGGCTGAGAAAGGTTTGCAGGATGAAGATTATGACATAGGATTCACCTGTGATGGAGATAAAAAGGAATCTGATGAAGATGAATCAGAAAACCACAAGGAAATTGACAGTGATCATGAGGAACAAGAAGAAGAAAGAACTACTCTAATTGCTGACCAGACTAATGAAGCCACACCTACTGAACCTGCTCTTTTGGGTCACTCCTCGGGTGAATCTTCTCTGGTATACAGATCAGACCATGGAAGCATCAAAGCTCACATCCTCTTGAGAATATCATCTCTGATCCAAATGCAGGGGTGCAAACCAGGTCTTCCCTAAGAAGTCTATGTGCACTCACATAAATCCTCTCACAGGTTGAACCTAAGACCTTTAAAGAGCTCCAAAGGATCCAGAATGGATCATATCCATGCAAGAGGAGCTAAATCAGTTTGAGAGAAGCAAGGTCTGGCACCTGGTACAGAAACCCAAGAACAGAACCGTCGTAGGTACCAGATGGGTGTTTAGAAACAAGTTGGATGAACAAGGAAATATCACAAGGAATAAAGCTAGACTTGTGGTTCATGTATCAAGAGGAGGGCATTGACTATTGATAAGTAGAGATTTTGACCGTTTATTTGCTCTCTTTTACTTGCGTTTTAGCTCAAAAATGCTTAAAGGTATTCCCGAAAACTAACGAAATGTGCTTACTTGCAGGAATATTAGGAAACGTGCCAATGAAGTCAAAATCAATGCATGAAGGAGTCAAAAGTGAACAAGAACCAAAACTGGGCAAAAAGGCTAGCAGTGCGGACCGCATAATTCTAGTGCGATCGCATAAGGGAGATTCAGATAATAGTGTTTTGGCCAGCTCAGGGACTGCGGACCGCACCAAAATTGTGTAGCCACAGGAAGTCAAGTGCGGCCGCAATCACTATTATACGGTCTACAAGAGTGAAGAATCAGAGAGTTGGTTCAATACCGAAAGTAGAAGAGTGTGGAACGCACCACTTTTGTGCGGCCGCATAATCAGAAATGCGGCTGCACCCACATTTATGCGGACCGCAGAAGCCTGAAGTCCCAAGTTCAAATTCCGAAAGATTGCAGACCGCACGATAATCGTGCGGCCGCAGGAGCCCATTGTGCGAACCGCACCAGAATTATGCGGCCACACAACCTTCGCAGGGGCATTTTTGTCCGATATTTTTAGCTTAGTATAAACAAAACTTTTTGTCATTTTTAGGTTATGTTTAGTTTGCAGAGGTGCACCTGAGCGGTTTTCTTTACTTCTTTGAGTAATTTTGTGCTAGATTGACTTCTTAACATTAGATTTTCTTTGTTTAATCAATTATTATGCATTCTCTCTTAATTTCTTCTTGTATTTCTTTATTTTTCATGAGTAGCTAAATGTTTAACTACGGTTGTGGCTCATCCCTAGTGTGGGTACTTAATGGGTATTTAATTTTAGGGCTTGTTTGTGATTGGGTTAGTGATATTTAGCCTTGTTTATGCTTAAATCCTAGAATTAATGGTTGCAAACATTGATTCATGCCTATTTTACCTAGTCTTTGCTTGAGAAAGAGAGACTAGGTTTAGGAAAACTTGGCTAACAAGAAATTGGGGTGAGCTCAAGAAATTGATAGCCCAAATTAAAGGGTCAAATCTAGAGATAGTAAGACCCAACTTGAGCATATATCACTTGATTTGTGAAAATACCCATTTGGGCTTGAGAACGCCAAATTGAACAAAATCACTCAAACTACCGAGAGGTATATAGTGAGAAATTGCATGTGATTGCTATTTTACGAACTCGATTAATCAAACTTGCCCTATAGTTTACAACCTGTTAGGTAGCCACCTAGGTGGAAGTCATGACCCTAGATTCCTTTATCATTTGAAAAACAACCAAAACCAAAAACATTGTCTTCTAGTTTACTACTTGCAATCATTAGTTAAAAGTAGAAATAGAAACAACCAATGAATATGTGGAAGTACAAATTGAGGCACATCATACACCTACTCTAGTTATATACCTAATCCCATATCTAACTCCCTGAGGAATCGACCCCGACCTGTGTTGCAATTTGTTATTGCTTCGACCGCCTCACTACCTAATTGTGGTATGAGTTTGGGCGAGATCAACTATGATGAGACATTTGCACCTGTAGCTAGAATGGAGGCTATAAGAATGTTGATAGCCTTTGCCGCCACATGGAGTTCACTTTATACCAGATGGATGTAAAGAGTTCCTTTTTGAATGGTTACCTGAAGGAGGAAGTGTTTGTCAAACAACCTCCTAGATTTGAAAGTGAAGAATTTCCTGACTATGTGTTCAAACTGGATAAAGCTCTTTATGGACTGAAACAGGATCCAAGAGCTTGGTATGAATGTCTCTCAAAATTCCTCTTAGCCAACAACTTTGTAAGAGGAAAGGTGGACAACACTCTCTTTCTAAGGAGCACAGAGAAGAATATTCTGATTGTGCAAGTGTATGTGGATGACATTATCTTTGGGGCTACCAATGAAGCAATGTGCAAGGAATTTGCTGAAATGATGGGAAATGAATTTGAAATGAGCATGATGGGTGAATTGAACTTCTTTTTCGGGTTGGAAATCAAGCAAACACCTACTGAAACCAAGATACATCAGCAGAAATATATCAAAGAACTACTGAAGAAGTTCAACATGGATTCCTCTAAGTCAAATCACACCCATTGCAGCTGCAACAAAGCTGGACCTTGATGAAGAAGGCAAAAGTGTGGAACAGAAACTATATAGAGGAATGATTGGGTTATTGTTGTACCTCACAGCAAGCAGGCCTGATATAGTGTTCAGTGTGGGATTATGTGTAAGATTTCAAGCAAATACCAAGGAATCTCACCTGAAGGTTGTCAAAAGGATACTAAGATATCTCAAGAGGACCCCTGACCTTTGTCTACGATATCCTAGAGGGTATAACTTTGATCTAGTTGGTTATGCTGATGCTGACTATGCAGGTTTTCATGTTGACAGGGAAAGCACTTCAGGAACAGCTCATTTTCTAGGTTCTTGTATGGTGTCTTGGGGAACCAAGAAGCAAAACTCAGTGGCTTTATCTACTGTGGAGGTTGAATATGTGGCAGCACCATCCTGCTGTGCTCATTTGTTATGGATAAGACAACAGCTAAGGGACTACGGTATATTTGTTGATTGTGTTCTCATTTTTTGTGCTAATACCAGTGCCATAAACATTGCTAAAAACTATGTCAGCTCAAGGGAACCAAGCACATTAACATTAGACATCACTTTCTCAGAGATAATGTTGAAAAGGGGAATATCTCAACTAACTTTTGTAAAACTGAAGATCATATTGATGATATTTTTACTAAAGCTCTGAGTAGGGATCACTTTGAAAGGAATAGACTAGAACTAGGTCAAATCAACTCTTCCCACTAGGTTGAATCCCAATGATCGGCTAGAAAAGGCATAACAAGATGTAGATAATTAAGTACAATGTGTTTGATTCAGCTTTGTGCTTGTATTAAGCTTACACACTTGCTTGGAAAATCTGGCTGATAACTATGTCGCATGATACTAATATGAAGTGCTGAAGCTTTATTGCAGAAACAAATAAGGAGCTAGTTCTTTGATTAGGTACGTGCCATACCGTCTTAAGTCACTAGGATTTTATATCCTAAAATTATTGCTATACTCAGACTTCTGATTCCGTTGGCATCACTTCCAATCGTCTTCTAATCAAAGAGTAAGAGAGAATCCTAGTGCAATTAAAGATCAATTACTCCTGAAATCCTAACAGTCAAAGTAACCGTTATAAGAGTCCCGTTAGAACTCAAATTCGGTCACCTTCTCTCTTCCAGTCAAATCAGGAGTAACGCCTTTAAAAGGATCTTATGATAAGCTTATAGACCTCGTTGTTTCTCTCAAATCCTAAGCAAGAATCAAAAGTAATTATCAAGAACTAATTCCTTCTTTCTCTTCTTTGAGTCTCTCATCTGATCACTATGCCTAAAGCCAGTCAAACACCCTCTAAAGCCAAATAATCAACCAAGGTTGAAGCAAAACCCAAAATCTTGAAGCCCAAATCAAAGAAAAATGCCAAGCCATCAAGGGAACCTACACCCACGTCTGTTCCTTCTCCTTCGATATCCTCCACTATACCTACATCATCATCCCTTGTTCCTATTGTTCATTTTGTTCCTATCGTCCCTACCTCCACTGTATCCCCTCCTCCAAAAATAGCCATCCATGCACCTGAGCCTCCTGCAAAAAATACCTATAAGTAAACAGGTCAAAGCCACTCCAAGAAAATCTGTCAAGAAAGTGCCTGATGTTGCTACACAGGATGACACTGTAGCCAAGGACTCTGTGGTTCAGGGGGAATCTGTTGCTAGTGACTCCTGATCAGGTACAACATCCTCCTTCCAAATTAGATATTTTGGTGTCTGCTATAGATGATGCACCCCTAGTACTCTCCTACGCATGAGTGAGAATCCACTAGTGGAGAAATTCACTGTGGAAAAGGGTATAGGGATCTGGGGAAGGAGGTAGATACTACGGCTGTGGAGCCTATGATTGAGGGGGAAGGAAGTAAAGAATCTGTGCAAAAGGAGGCTTCTGATGGCCTTTCTTTTAGTTGGACTGAGGATAAGGAAGATGATGGGATGAAAAGGAAGAAGAAGTTGTGAACAGTCGTGAGGAGCATGATGTTCAAAACATAGCCAATGAAGAAGAAAAGACTGAGAATAAGGGAGCATCTGGAGATGAGAAGGAGGGTGATACAGAGGATAAGAGAGGATAAGACAGGTTAATGATTCTGTAGAAGAAGAAAATCATAGTGAAGAAGAGGAGGATTCTGAAAGTGAGGGTGAAGATAAAGAAAAGGTAAGTGAGAGTGAAGTAGGTGATTAAGAGAGTGAGGAAGAAGATGGGAATGTGAGTGAGGAATCTGAAGGTTCCATGACAATTGGAAACACTGTCATAGCCTCTTTAGAAGAAATTGGTGAAGAGACAAGGGCCTAAGAACCTGGGTCTCTATTAACTCCTTTCACTGGAAATGAAGAAGTTAGCAGTGATAAAGACGATGTGTCACTATCTGAGGTAGGGAAGAAATCTAGGAATACCCATGTAAAAGCTACAAAGTCAGTAGTCTCAACAAGGAAAGGAGTGGCTCCTCCTGCCAAAACTTATCTCACAAACAGTAAAAGAAAGGTTGTTGATGCACAAATCATTAAGGAGTCTAGAACTGCAAAGAAGCCAAAGAAGAAGGTCTCAATTGTTGAACCTGTTGTTGAGGTGGAAGTAGAGGATGAGTCTGACTCTGCCTTGCCAGTTAAATCTGCTAC